TGCCTTTAAAAATACTCAAAATTATTTTTGAATCACACCACAACTAATGACATTAAAGCCTGGATGGCCCACAACTTCCTCAGGCCTATTGGCGATAAGGCTGAGATTGTTGAGTTCGGTTCTGATTCCGGCAGTGGATCCCAACTCAATCTTTGTGTTTTACAACCTTTTAGAGTCTGCAACCTTTACAATAAAAGATTTTTTTCCTCTCAGTCTCCCTAAATAAAACTTGTTTAGAGCCGCATCTGTTACAGGACCTCAGGACAGAAAAAAACATATTTTTTGAGAATTAGCTACGAAAGACAAAAAAGGGCTAATTAAACATAAATAAATACATTTCTCAGAATTCTGAGAAAAAAGTCAGAAGTCTAAGATTGGAACCAAGAATCAGATTTTTTCTGAGATTTTTTCCTCTTCTGAAATTGTTGTAAAAACCATTAACACAAAAGTTTTGTAAAATTAGCATTTTTTTCCCCAATAGGATGCTTGATTTATTTTTTTTATACAATTTTCTTCAATCTAAACATTTTACTTGTACTTTATGTGTATTTTAGTGTCAATTATGGAAATTGTATATAATTCTTTTATAAAAAATTAAACAATAAGTTGCTCAAACCATGGTTGAATTTTATCGGACAGCAGGGGAGCAGGAAACGACAAGATTACAAGTCTTTATTAAAGTTAGAGTGTGTAGTTTTTACTGTTAATCTCCAAAAATATCGATCAAAATGTTGTTGAAATGATTGAAATGATGCCCAGTTGTTGAAAAAAATTGGCAGCTTTGTAACATATAACCATAAAAATTGGGTCTAAAGTACGTGGGAGTGGATCTAAGACTCAGGATGACGACGTATTAGATGCAATGTTTCCTTCTACGTAAGCCTTTAAGGAGCAAAACACATTTACTGATTTGCAGCAAGAGGTTACAAAACTTTCATTTGTGAACATTGTTGTTTTACACATTTACCTCTTCGCTCGTTGCTGGTGATTAAAGGGAATCTTGTAATTTTGCTGGAGGTTGAACAAACTGACAAAGTACTCATTTGAAAATTGAGCTCCCAGGGATTTTTGACCCTTATGGCCATCCATTGGTAAGATCTTATTCAAACACAAAAATACCACTTGCTTGCAATGATTTAGGTATGCACTGCCGCCTATCACCACGGAAAATACTCACTGCTACTTTTCACATGCAAATTTCTCGCCTCTGATTGGCTAACAGCAGTGTGACTCTTCCGCTGACTTTAACAGAACTGAGGATACTGTAAAACATATTTCCTTGGGTACAAAAATACAATGTTTGTATTTTATCACCACTAAAACCACAAGCCTGAACATGTTTCACCGTTTTGTGGCATTGCTAATGCTAATGGTTAGCTTCTCCTGGCTGCATAATCAATACAGCCTTCCAGTGGTGGTGTTGGAAACTATAAGGTGAGTGAATTCAGAAATGCTCATTTTTCCTGTGACTGGGTAAAAATAGTGCGGTAGGGGTAAATGATAGCTTCCTCCTTCATGTTTCCATTGGTCCGCCACCTAAAATGTTCAGGTGCCACTGGCGAGAGCTAGCGTTAGCTGCGCCCACCTTAAGGGCGTTAAAACGTGCACAGAAGAAAAAGCAAAGAATAAAATGAAAGTAACGAAGCGAGAGCTGCTGTTACTGGCTGCAGCCCGCCTTGTGCTCTTAGTAACGAAATGCGATCTTTCCTTTTTCGTACTTTGGAGTCCACCTTCACAATTCACTGCAAAATAAAGCTACCTGAAAAATAACACTATACATCCGGTCTCAAAACAGGAAGTTGATTTCATGGGATTCACAACAATAATGGTAATACTTATTAATAAAATTAGTCTTAGGAAGTTAACTTGAGTTACTTGCAAAAAATATATCTCAGCTTTATAACTTTGAATAGTAAAGGCAAACCATCAGATCGGGACTTGAAATCGGATTGGATTTGAAGTTAAAAGATCGGATCGGGATCGAGAACCTAAATTGCTGATCGGGACATCCCCACTTAACCTTTACGTGTCATAGGTGCATTTTTTTGGGCTCAAACACCAGAAACTTTAGAAAATTAAAAGGTAATATAAGGGTTAAAATTTCTGCCAATAGTGCAGCTTGGAACCCCCCCCCCAAAAAAAACACAAGAAGTCGCCGACAACAAAAGACGTTAGGCTAGAAAACGGCGACTAGTGTCTAGCGCTCTCTTGTTTCCTCTGGCAATGTGGGTTTCCAGTTCCAGCAGATGCAGCCCAGCAATTACACCCGACAGGAGGCGTGAGAGTTCTGTGACCATGTTTCCATTTCAAAGCTAACCTCTTCTGTAAATTTGCCATTGAAGCTTTAACTGTTTTCTTGTGAATGCAAAAATTATTGAGATGTGTGTTCATAATTCAGGGTTAGCAGAATGCCTAGCCTCCAAGGAGGACCAGGACTTTAAATCCCTGGATGGTCTCATGCAGACCGGACATTTGCAAACAGATGCAATGGAAGCAGCCTGCAGGATTCTTTTTTGATCAGTCAAGCTTTAACAAGTCAAGTTGACTTGCTGCAAATGTAACATTTTGCATGTGAAAGAGAGAGGCCTGGTTTTGATTAGGACTAAGCTGATAAATGGCAGATTCAAACAGGCCCCCCCACCATTGCAGAGAAACCCCAGAGGTCCAGAGGTTTAAGTCCAGACTGATAGCAATTCTGTTGCTCCTCTTTCTTCACTAAACCAATGAATAGATGCATTATTCAGGAGGCTCATTCTCATCTCCTAAATTGAAGTGGCAGCAGCTTAAAAGACCCCATTTTCTAGCTCCCTTTAAGTTGCCCTCCCTCACAAATTTGCCTCCTGAAATATTCATAGGATTGTCTCAGTTTGAGCTCCGGGTTTTATTCTTAACACTGTTTGCTCAAATATTTAAACAAACATGTATGTTTATCTAAAACAAATGGAGAAAAACTATTAACCTTCCTTTTTTTATTTAACTCTTAAGAAATATTGTTTTCACTTAAAATTTCAAAAGACTGTTAAATTACCTGAGAGTATTAAAATATAAAATAAGAAAGATTACTGTTGAGTTTTAGTTCATTATGAAAGCCTAACCAGCCAACAAAAAAAGCCCCTGAAGACAGCTAACTAGTTTTATTTGATTTAAATTGGTTCATTGTTTTTTAATTAATAAAAAAAATTATTTTAAGCTCCATTTGAGTTAAAAACCTTTTAATTCCTGGGAATTTTTTGTATCAGAATTTGATTGACCATCATTAGTGTTGTCCCTTTTGTATCCAGACCAGAGTAATTCTTCTAGCTTGCATGACTATTCAGATGAACCTGTTTGGTTTCCGACCTGTAAACACAGCCGATTACTTTGTGGGATTTTAGTCACATAAACCTGATGCACCTTTTTTTGTTAGTAAAAGACTTAAATGCTGTGTCGGTTTGTTGTGATTGATCTTTGATTATGGAATAACTTGGACACTGGAATCAGGTCATGTAAAACTGATAAATCATTTTAAAAAATGTACGTCAAGAAGATGATGTCATACTACCATAATGACCGTATGTGAGCCAGTGTATCTGATAGATGTGAATGAAAATGTAATGTTCTTGCACAAGTTATAGTATTTAAATCTCTGTTTCGATCATTATCATACATTGACTTACTGTATTAAAGGGGCATTATGGAAGTCTGACAGCCAAAACATGTATAGAAATAATAAATGTCTTCTTCATACATTCTCCTGCAATGCCCTGGTCCTGTAGAATGAGCCCTGGCATTTTTACTGTGATTGCCTGTTTTTCTGTAAAATCACAGAAAAAGAGAGATGCTCGGGTCGAGCAGGCTGCTTCATGCGTGTTCACGCTCAGGCATCGCCCTCCGAACCGTTCTTTGAACGTTGTTTCAGCTTTGATCAAGAATATAAATGTTACAGATACAAGGACGTCACTGGCGCTTTTGCTCGCCTAGTAGGACGTCGGACTTTTGTGCAGAAGACCCGGGTTCGATTCTGGGTGTGAACATAGTTTATTTAGAGTTTCTTTTTTACATTAATGGTTTTTTTTTTTTTACAGTAAGATGCCCATATTTTTATTTGAGACTCGCAGAACGGCATTGAATTCACAGATAAACAAGATGTGGGTTCAACTTTCATTTTGGAACAATTTTTCAAGCAAGGGAAGGGAATGATCTGAGCATGCAGGAGGACTGACCCATCATAAACCTTTGTCGGCTGTGCTGAAGAGAAAGGTACAGAACCAAATTATTTAATTAATTTGCTGCACATTCTCCTGTCCTCTGTCCTCCGGTCCACACACACACACACACACACACACACACACACACACACACAGGACTATCTCAGCTGTTATTTTCGTTAAGGAGTGTGCATGTACAGCATGCGCGCCTCGTGCACGAGCCTACTATTGAAGCTGCCATTACGCTTTTGGCCTGAGGGGGCAATCGTGAGCATAAAAATTCAAAACTCCGTAAAGTCCCTTTAATATTACTGGTAGTTTTGTATAGTTCTGTCTTTAGTTCTGGGTATTTTTCCTCTTGCTGAATTATGGTTGTTGTTGCTCAATATATTTCAATTATTATTATCATAATTATTATTTTTATCTCACTCTCAATTTTATCATTACATAACTTTTATCTTATTATTGTCATTTCTTTCTTTTTTCTTTTTTTTTTTGAAAAGTAATGCGATTGAGTAAATAGGGTAGGCATAAAAAGCTAGGCTTCAGCCTACACCTTTTTGGTTACTATAATTGAAATTCTGTATTACTGTGTTCTTTCTTTTTCCTTTTAAATGACCAAAATAAATAAATAAATAATAATAATCTCACCTAATTTGGCTTCTCCTAATAAAACCAAACTCACACGTGACGTTTAGCTCCCTTTAACCACAGAGGCTGTGAAGTAATCACTGATGCTGGAAATCTGGTTTAAATGTGATAATAAGTTGGATTTTACAGGCTTTTGTTTTCATTTTTTTTTTGTCTTTGCAGACGACTTTTTGGCAAAGTACTGCATTTTCAGCCAAGAGAAGCTGGCAGAGTACAAAAGGGCTTTTGAGGCGGTAAGTGAAAGGAGATTTAAAGCCTTTATGTTTCAGGAGAAGCTGTTTCATTCAGCTGCAGAAGTGAGCTGATTCTCACCAACATTGAACCGAAAATGTTCAATATTTAGCACTGAGTTCAGCTATAAAGGGCTTCTAGAATTCAACACTATGTTTACCTTGTTGTTCAATTTAAGCAGCAAATTTACCAATAAGTCTGTGCCATCTCCGACCGCCTTTCCTGTGTAAATTAGTAATGTTGTTTTGGCCACAGAGAAACGGTTCGTTCTGAGAAAAGCTGGTTTAACACGTCATAAGTTTAGACCGAGGGTAGGCAGTCGTGGTCCAGGAGTTTTAGTTTTTTCCCTGTTCTAACACACTTGATTTTAATCAGTGGGTGATTTACAGGCCTCTGTAAAGCTTGATGACTTGGTTAACAGGTGAATCGACCATTCGATGGGGTGCGTTGGAGCTAAAACACTCCAGGACCTAGATTTCCTACCCCTGGCATTGACACGCGCCCTTAAACTTTCACGTCTCCACCCACGTCAGTGTCGAGAATATACACATGCTGGATGCAGTAATGCTAACTGCAGAACAACGCGAGCCCTGAGCTACTGCTAACGCTAGCCCAAGCTACTGTTAGCATTCTTGTTGGATAAGAGGAAAGTCAAAAAGAGGAATGCTGGTGCACACACCAGTGGCGTGTCCAGATCTTTTAAAATGGGGTGGCCCAGGTGAGGCACAACTTTGTGCATGGGTGGCACCAATGGTTATGCTTTTTTTGTTTTACCCCCAAGCCTTTTATGGACAATGAAAAGCCTATTTAAAGGTAAATTAGCGTGGTGACACCTGGGGTGGCCAATCAGATTCCAAGGGTGGCATGTGCTACCCCAGGCCACTCCCTGGACACGCCCCTGGCACACACGTATCCAGGATGGAACCAGGAATCTCCAAACTTTGAATAATTCACAGATAAATCCACAGCTTGCCTATTGAGTTATCCTGATACCTCAACATGGCAGTACACAGGTAGCGTCATAGGGCCATCAGGGTTAACTGGCCAATCGGCACGCAGATCTTTTAATATTCATGTCCTGGCCAAGTAGGCAGGGCAAACAAGTTGTTCCATTGCAGGACTTTAACTTGGGGATGTGTTTGGTCATTTATCAGGACTCCTGGGCCATTTTGAGCCCCAACAAAGTCTCTTCTGTTTTATAGAGCCTAGACGATCAGTTTCCAGTCGTAAAAAAAGTAGTTCTAGAACCCTTTAAGGACAAATCTCATAGAGAGGATGTAACTGTTGATGCTTAAAGAGTTGCATTTTGAAAAACAATGGTGTTTATGTGCAGGAGGACAGCGACGGTGATGGCTACATCTCCAGCCTGCAGGTTCTCCTGGCTCTGAAGAGCATCATTCCAGCCGAGCTGCTGTCTGAGGAGGAAGAAATCTACGTTTACAGGGTTAGATCTGAGTCCCGCGCACACGCCCGCATGCGTTCACACGCCCACCACCATAACGCCAGCGTCTTCTTGTTTCAGATCTTGGGGATGGTGGACTTCAGAGTGACAGATGGGCTGGTGGACCTCAGGCTGTTTGCTGTGATTGCAAGTCTGGCTCAGAAAATAGCCTCCATGGAGTAAGTGAAAGGGCAGACGCACTCCTCCATAAAGCCGGAGGACGAGTCACTGACCCGCCATAAATAAGAATAAGTGTGTGTATGCAACTTTGTTCCACCGATTTTGCCGTCGTGTGTGGGACCCTCTTTGATATTTTTACAATCTCACTGATCCGGACCCTGAGCTTTGGTCCTTCCTGCTCCTGAAAGGGCAACTGGGGTTTTGATCCAGATTTAAAAACGTTTGACCATGATCATCCAAAAGCTAATCCAGACATGAAGTTAATTTAGCCTTTTTACTGTTTCTCTCATATGTCAATCAGAGAGAAACAATCTGCATTATTATTCTACAGGTTATGTTTCAGTCCACATAAAAACAGAATAAGGAACACGTTTAGGAATCTTATTTCCTGTCCAGCAAATGGCTGTTCCTGTGTGTTTTGTAAGGATTCAGATAAAGAAATGGTAACAAATTGTGTTGTTGTGGCAGAATGATGGTGATAAAAAATGTTAAGAGCCAGTTTCAAACTTTATTTCTTTTGCTAAGTAATCCATTAGGTGGCTTTAATAATCAAAGCAGATGAAGTCTTAAATAAAAGCTTAAATATTTAAATGACCTCTACGTCTGACTCACTGGAAGCAAAAAGAAATCAGTTTTAAAGGAAGATTAACCTACAGTGCTGCCCATTATTATTCATACCCTCGGCAAATTATGACTTAGTTACTTTCATTCAACCATCAAGTTATTGTTTGACAGGAAATGACGTAGGCGTCTCCCGAAAGATAATAAGACGATGTAGAAGAGGCATTATTGCACCCAGAAATGTTCTCAGCATTTATTCATATATTTGACCACAAGGTGTCATGTCCAAGATTATTCATACCCTTCAAAGAAGAAGAAGAAAATATCTTTTCTATAGCGCCTCTCAAGATAAAAATCTCGAGGCGCTTCACAAAAACAAAAAATGTAAAAATATTAAAAAATAATTTAGAAAATGATTAAAAATATATTTAAAATGAGCAAAAAATTGACAATTGTGATTAAAAAATGTAAAGAAACAGAGGGAGTGAATAGGAAAGAGGGAAATCAGTGGATCCTGGGGAAGGTGGAATAGGTGGGGAGAGCAGAACAAGGAGAGGGTGATGAAGGTCACACAAAACAGTCAGTCTCTAGGAAAACACAACATTCTAAACCATCCCAAATGGTCCAAGCTTTCTAAAGCATCTCAATTACCCAGAACAATTGGGAGCGGCTGTTTTAATCAACTCAACAGGTGAAAAGCGTCAGACATGACACGCTCAAATGTAAATAAAAGCTGAGAAATGTTTATTGGCACAATAATGCCTCTTGTACATCGTGTCATTTCCCGTCAAAAAATAACTTGCTGGTTGAATAAAAGTAACTTTAAGTCAAGGGGTGTGAATAAGTACTGTTAAGTGTGGCGAAACAGAATAAATCTACCTCACTGTTAAATATCAGGGCCAGCAGTAGCTCAGGGCGAGTTGTCCAATAATCGCACGGTTGTAGGTTCAGTCGGGGTTCCCGCCAGAGAACACTGCTGTTGTGTCGTTGGGCAAGACACTAAACCCACCTTGCCTGCTGTTGGTGGTCAGAGGGACCGGTGGTGCCAGTGTCCCAGGGCAGCTGTGGCTTCAATGTAGCTCATCACCACCAGTGTGTGAATGTGTGGATGACTGATTGTGTTGTGAAGCACCTTGTTGAACCCTAAGCAGCACAAATGCAGGCCATTTACCATCACGTTTAATAGCTTCTAATACACTCTTCTTCTACTCTTTCAAAACATGCAGAATTCATTTTATACATACAAATAGATATATACATATGTAATCAGTATTTTATTATATATTTGTCTTATTAATCTATTTCTTATATGTTATTAATTATTGTAATAATATCAATTCATGTTATTATTATTTGACATTATTAGTATTTCCATTCAGGTGTTTTTTCCTTAAATATGTTTAAAAGTTCATGTTGAGTCATCAATTATCAACTTAGATCAGGTTTTAGGTCAGAAAACATCCAAAAATAGCAGAAGAAAACTGAAAAAAACCTTCTCTGATATTTTATTGATTCCCCCCCTAAATCAGCCAAGAAAATAACCGAGGACTGGACCCTGCTTGGGGAGACTTTGGCCTCAGCGTCCCTGTGTCTCAACATTATGCTCCATATGCCGCAGATTCCCACACACAGAGTTTTTTTCTCTTCCTGCCCCGGGGTCTGTGTCTTTCTACAGACCAGAGTGAGCGGAGCCAAGCCCACTCTGGAGGTCTCCGGGGGTCAAGGCCTGCACCCAGAGCCCTCACCCCGGACTGAGAGCTCTCTCTCAGCGAGGACAGGGCCAGGGTCACAAGTGCCGTGATTTACGGCCGGCTCTTTGTGCTGCTGGTTGCTGCTAAAAGCCCGCGGTGTCGGCTCACTCTGGAGGCAATTATAGCCACCATAATGAATGTTCAGATGAAACCTCCTTTCATGAAGCTTCTTGTTGGATTATAAATAAGGGGAAACAATAACATCGCTCTGTTATCTCATCCTAACTCATCCTCTTACCTGTTTCACATAATCCTGTTGTTTCTAATCCCAGATTAGAAATGAGCTGCAGTTGTAGTTACTCAATCAGATTCCTCCGCTGCACACCTCACCCTGTCATCCTCCCGCCTTCTTGTCATCCATCTGTGCTTTTGGTATTTTGGCCCATCTGCCTCCTCCAGACACTCGCGCAGCATCTCCTTCCCTTATGGAAAAAAACCGTGCTTCCAGTCGGGATTCCCACACTGCACCGTCAGAGCCATCGTCGCATCCATCTGTGTTTTACTGGAAGTCTCTTGGATTCTGGGAATTCACAGAATGAGTCGGCAGGCGCTTATGTGGAAGCACCAGTCTAGCTACGGCAACACAAACTGTGCGAGGATGTGAGTGCAGGTGTCTAAATGATGGTGCATCCTTGTTAATGAAACAGACTTAAAGCTTCAGCCCCACACATTTTATTTTGCAATAGATAGATAGATAATAGATAGATAATACCTTTATTAGTCCCACACGTGGGAAATTTCATCGTTGCAGCATAGAGGACAGTACAGTCAGAAAAACAGGTAAGACAAAAAACACAATGTACAAAAACTGGATTCCTACAGCACACATAACACCAAGAATCTATGGAATGCCAAAAATACACAAACAAGACACCCCACTTAGACCAATAGTTGACAGCATGGGTACACCAGCATACAACATGGCAAGAGATATCAGCAAAATCATCAGCCCGTTATTAGGAAACACAGATCAACACTGCAAAAATAGCACAGAACTGGCAAAAGAACTAAATGAGATTACAATAGAAGACGACGACATACTCATCTCACATAACGTCACATCCCTGTTCACAAAAACACCAACCCAAAAAACCATAGACATAGTAGTTAACAGAATCAGACAGGACAAAACTTTACACAAAAGAACAAACCTCACAGCAGATGACATAGCACAACTTGATTGGCTCCAGCTGAGTGGACGCTGGCACGTTTGGCTGCCGCTGCTCTCTAGTCTTTCCTGTCCGTTTTTAACTTGGACGGTTTTTATCTGATTTTATTTTTTATCTGTTTCTAATCTCTTATCTGGATATCGGTATTTTTCTTTAATTAGTTGTGTGTACCAGTGGCCTCTTGCTCCCTGTACCACCTGGACAACGCCCTAGCAACCTCATCCACTGTGCAACAGATGCTCTGAGTCACTAAAATCTGACTCTACTACCTGAACTATTCTTGGCTTCAACACTGACTTTACAAACTCTACACCGTATCCCTGTGGCCTGCTCTACTCACCATACCGAGGAATCCAGGAGATCTTGCGGTCAGCCTATCCGCTGCGCGCCCAGACTCCCATCGCCGACTGGATCAAGCCGCAATGTGGGCCACCAAGATAGTCGCTCTGTATATATTCTTCTTCATCCTTCTCCGACTGTCTTCACCCGGTGTCCGGCCTGTACCAGTATGTGCCCGCAGAGATCCTCAGACTCTGGTCCTCACACGCTGGTCCTCCACCTCCTGGGCTGCTGCTACATCCCAACATCGTTCTCCCTCCTCGGCGGGGATACACACACCGAGGGGCCCAAAGAAGCTACAACATCAACGGAAATAAACCTCCATATTCCATCTGGTCTGTTACTCGTCGCCCTTCCAGGAGGCCTCCACTCTCCGTCGACCACTCTGCGCTAGCTTACCCAGCTAGGACGGCTAACGCTCCGGCTGGCCAACAGCACTCCGTCGCCAACTTCGGCCTCCTCAATACCCGCTCCCTGACGAACAAGGGCCACCATATTCTCGACCTCCTCTCCAATAATAACCTGGACTTTCTCTGCCTGGTTGAAACGTGGCAACATCCCAATGACTTCTCCTCGCTCAACGACGCCACTCCTCAGGGCTATGTTTACACATCTAAATCCTGCGGCTCGCGGGGAGGCGGTCTCGCTGTAATTCATCGCGAGAGTTGGAAAGTCCTCTCCATGCCTGTCCCTCCACTCAGCTCTATGGAGTGCCTGGCGCTTCAGCTCCCTGGACCCACTCCCACCATCATTGCTGTTATTTACCGTCCCCCGAAACCGCATCCTGACTTTCTATCCCAGTTTGCTTCACTCCTAGCCCATTTATCCTCTCTGTCATCCAAAATAATGCTGCTGGGTGACTTCAATATTCACATGGACAATAACACGCTCCCCATCACTAAGGACTTTTCTCCATGTCTCCATAGTCATGGATTTCACCAACTCATAAATATTCCGACCCACATCAAAGGACACATCCTAGACTTAATCTGCTGCTCCGGTCTCATTCCTCTCAACTGCGTAGCTACTGATCTCCACATATCCGACCACTTCTTTCTTTCATTTTCTCTCCAACTACCTGTTAGCCGTACTAAGACACCACGTCTTATTCATTTTAGGAAAATCAACGACATCAATCTAGACACTCTCTTCATGTCTTTCAACTATTAACTTCACTGA